GATCCCGGTAGATGTCAAGATACTGTCTAAAGCACTGACGTACCGACTCCAGCAAATTCTCCTCAACTTGATCCACCTCGATCAAAAGGTATTCGTCAAGGGCCGCTCGATTCACCACCATGTTCGATTTCTCGCGGATCTGCAGGAATTGGTGACAAGTCGAGACGAAGAAGCTTATGCCCTGTTCTTGGACTTTGAAAAAGCATTCGATCGAGTGAACTGGGACTATATCTTCCGTGTGCTTGAACGAATGGGTTGTGGCTCACAATTTACACAGTGGGTGCAATTGCTGTACACCGATTCACAAGCCCACCTTGTCATCATCCAAAACTTCCAGCCAGTATTGTATCCGACAAGAGAAGTAAAACAAGGCGATCCGCTTTCTGTGCTTCTCTTCCTGCTCAGTATTGAGCCTCTCGGAAACCATTTGCGATCCCCTGAAGAGTTTGGAGTGTGCCTCAACGATGATCACACGTCCACCGGTCTCTTCTTCGCAGACGACACGACTCTCCTAGGAGGCTCCATAGCGAGTATACAAGCTCAGCTTGAGCTCGTGGAAGAGTACTGTATGGAGTCTGGTGCAAACCTCAATCTTAGCAAGTCGAATTTGATGGCGCTGAATCGAAACGAGACCTGTCCTCAGCTCCCTGGTGTGCACGTGTTTGATCGAACCGAGTCGGTCAAGTTTCTTGGTATCCCTTTCAGTCAGCCCCCAGTGAACAATGAAATTGTCAACTTTGTTGAGCAACGCTTCTACGACGGCTTCAAAATGTGGTACCGACGGGCTAGGATTCTTTGTGGTCGGCTACTGTTAGCACAAACAATAATCTTGTTTCGCCAGTGGCACTATACACAGCACGTGTCGATTCCACCCTCTGTCGTAAAGAGGTGGCAGTCAATGCTGAACAAGTTTGTTCAGAGTCGAAAACACGAACGGGGCGCAACCCATATCCAACTCATTCCGCAAGAGTTTTCGTTTCTCCCAAGGAGCGAAGGAGGACTGGGTATCCCATACATTGAAGCACATTTGAAACGACAGCGACTTCAGTTGTTGCTTCAATTCATGTGCTCAGCAAGCAGCCCAGTCGAACAAAGCTGGACAACGGCAGGTTGTGGTCTTCTCACTGCGGTCCTTCCTAAAGTCGGTCGGGGAATGGCGCTTGG